CGCTCTCTCAATCAACAGACTATTGTTATTACTTATCCACTTGCCCTCCAGAGGATTTACCCCCCTTAATGACCAGGCCTTTTTTGCTATTCAGTGCTGCACTTTTTCAACTGGTAATTGCGCAGTCATGCAATGCTGTACCCAAACAAAATTTACATCCTTTTTTTCACACAAATAGAGCTTTCTTTCAGTGGTATTTGATCACCTGTGCGCTTTTTTTTTTTGCGCTATAAACAAAAAAAGTCCAATAATTTGGAAAAAAACAATATTTTTTACTTTCAGCTATAAAAAAAGATATAGTAAACTCAAAGTTAATAATAAATTTAGGCCAAAATGTATTCTGCTACGTTTTTGGTAAAAAAATCCAAATAAGTGTATATTGATTGCTTTGTGTGAAAGTTATAGTGTCTGCAAACTATGGTATAGATACTGCAATTTACACCATTTTTTACTATACAGCTCTGCACTAGTTTAACTGACAATTATGCATTCATGCAAAGCTGTACCCAAACAAAATGTATGTCCTTTCTTTCACACAAATATAGCTTTCTTTCGGTGGTATTTGATCACCTTTGTGCTTTTTATTTTTTGCGTTATAAACAAAGAAAAGACCAAAATTTTTGAAAAAAAACCCCAATATTTTCTCATTTCTGTCATAAACAAATATGCAAAAAAAACTAAAATTTTGTCATAAATTTAGGCCAAAATGTATTCTGCTACACGTTTTTGGTAAAAAAAAAAAAATACCAATAAGCGTACAGTAGGGCAAAAAAGTATTTAGTCAGCCACCAATTGTGCAAGTTCTCCCACTTAAAAAGATGAGAGAGGCCTGTAATTGGCATCATAGGTAGACCTCAACTATGAGAGACAAAATGAGAAAACAAATCTAGACAATCACATTGGCTGATTCGGAAAGAATTTATTTGCAAATTATGGTGGAAAATAAGTATTTGGTCAATATCAAAACTTCATCTCAATACTTTGACCTCTGTCATTGCCAACAAAGGATATATAAGAAACGTTTCCTGTAAGTCTTCACAAGGTTGGCACACACTGTTGCTGGTATGTTGGCCCATTCCTCCATGCAGATCTCCTCTAGAGCAGTGATGTTTTGGGGCTGTCGCTGGGTAACACAGACTTTCAACTCCCTCCAAAGGTTTTCTATGGGGTTGAGATCTGGAGACTGGCTAGGCCACTCCAGGACCTTGAAATGCTTCTTACGAAGCCACGGGGGGAGATCTTGCATGGAGCCCCAGATCGAGGGAGATTATCAGTGGTCTTGTATGTCTTCCATTTTCTAATTATTGCTCCCACAGTTGATTTGTTCACACCAAGCTGCTTGCCTATTGCAGATTCAGTCTTCTGGTGCAGGTCTACAATTTTGTTTCTGGTGTCCTTCGACAGCTCTTTGGTCTTCACCATAGTGGAGTTTTGAGTGTGACTGTTGAGGTTGTGGACAGGTGTCTTTTATACTGATAACAAGTTCAAACAGGTGCCATTGATACAGGTAATGAGTGCAGGACAGAGGAGCCTCTTAAAGAAGGTATAGGTCTGTGAGAGGCAGAAATCTTGCTTGTTTTTAGGTGACCAAATACTTATTTTCCACCATAATTTGCAAATAAATTCTTTCCAAATCAGCCAATGTGATTGTCTGGATTTTTTTTCTCATTTTGTCTCTCATTGTTGAGGTCTACCTATGATGCCAATTACAGGCCTCTCTCATCTTTTTAAGTGGGAGAACTTGCACAATTGGTGGCTGACTAAATACTTTTTTGCCCCACTGTATATTATTGATTGCTTTGTGTGAAAGTTATTAGCATCTACAAACTATGGTATAGATAATAGAATTTACACAGATTTTACACAAAGTTATCACTTAAATCATATATTGCTCACACAAGCCATGGGTATATGTGGGATTACACCCCAAAATAAATTCTGCTACTTCTACCGAGTATGGGAATACCACATGTGTGAGATTTTTTTGGGAGCCTAGCCACATACAGGAGCCTGAAATCCAATGACCAATTTCAAAGCCTGAAGGTGCGTAACTTCTTCACTACCTATCACAATGACGGTCACATACCTGATGAAGGGGTCCTGCGAAACGTTGCCTTGTTGTAACTAGGTGATCCTTCATTAAAACTTTTGGACCCATATTGGTGATCCTCGGTGTGCTGGTGACATTTTCCCTTGCTGATTCTGTTCGGTTCCAGCTGATGGTCGCTGCCGCACCCATTTATACATATAGCCATTTTTAACGCAGGGAATGTGTGCATTTGGATTGTACACTTACTTTCCAAAAAGAGGTAATTTGGAGGGGTTTGGTGCTATCCTGGCATTTCAGGGCCTCCGAAACTGTGATAGGTAGTCAGGAAGTGTTATAAGGAAATAAAGTCCTTTAAAAGCCTGGAGGTGGCATAATCCGGAGCTCTGGCGCCGATCTACACAATTCGCTGCCATCCGTGCAGCTGCAGGCCACAGCGGGGCAGCGGAGGCATCACCTGAACCTGGGAGAGGGGCTCCGGGCGATATTTCCGCCCTCTGTGGTGGCGGACATCCGCGGCGTGGCGTGGCCGCATGATCCGGGGCTCCGGCGCATCATCATACCTGCATCCACTGCCATCCAGGCAGCGGTGGATCATTTAAGGCCATTGGAGGCACCCTCTGCATCCCCTGAGTCTGGAAAAGGGGCGCCGCTGAGTATTGCCGCTTCTCGTGGCGGCGGGTATCTGAGGCCTACTCCCCCGATACGAACCTCCTCTCATCTGGGCCACAGTGAGTATAGGAGGCAAGGGGGCTGGCGGCTACTGGTCATCGGGTCCCTCTCCAGTGATCTAGGGAATGGGGCTTCCATTTACTGCCCCAGAAACCGCCTTCCTCTGTGGCCACGGCCCCTGTTGGGTCCAGAGGCCTACTGAGGCCTATATAGTGCTCCGGTGAAGTGCTGGGGCTGCCTGGATCTGCCCTGGAGGGCCCAGAGCTTATCATGGGGGGTCCTCTGTTCCACACATGTCCCTAGTCCCTCTCAGACCCTAAGGTGGGAGCTGAAGCCATCATTTTACTCCTGGGAGTTATTAATGTTTTTACCACAGCCTATGTCCTCTCTACGCCCTCACGGTTCACTAAATATTTTTACAATATAAAGTTTTTGCGGATAAGCCTGATAGCATCTATGTAACTACAACCCTAAACTTTTTTCAGGCGTTATAGGTCCCCTGGGGTTATTATCTCTTTTGGTTATCCAATTTCCAGTTGACCACCCCCAGGAGACTCCCTGTATGCCATCCACAAAGAAAAAAAGGGGACAAGCTCAAAAGTCCCTCACAACATACCTACTTAAGACACACGAGATTTGCAGCATGTCTCCAGACAATACAGAACGAACATCCCTGTCCGATCTCACGCAGGATACCACAGCTCCTTCATTAGCTCTGGTCAGTGAATATACACAGCAACTCACAAAGGGGGACCTGGAATCTTGCTTGGAAACTATGTACACCAAGCTGGCCGACAAATTCCAATCAAAACTGCATAAAATCACAAATGTTCTATCACAGGAAATAGCCACATTGGGCTCCAGGACCAAACCGCTTAGAAACCAAACATGATGAACTTAGCCTGGCTTATGGTGAACTTTCCAGAGATCATGATCATCTACAAACGGCCTTTTCACACTTGCAGACGCAGGTTGAGGACCTTGATAATCGCAATCGCAGGAATAATCTGCGAGTCAGGGGAATTTCGGAGTCTGTGTTTGATCTCTCACAAACCATAACCAAGTTATTCAAGTCACTCTTTCCGGATCGTGACCCTGGGTCCTTTGCTTGTGACCGCATCCATAGAGCCCTGCGCCCTAAACCTCCTAATGATAAACCGCCTAGAGACATTGTCCTGTGTATGAAGGATTTCCTGACCAAAGAAGATATACTTAGAGCTGCTCGCAATACACCAACGATCTCCTTCGAATGCTCGATTGTACAAATCTTTCCAGATGTTTTTTTCGGCCACGTTGGAGAAACGTGGAAAAATGAAAAAATTACAACTGCCCTTTTCTCAGCTCGTATCCACTACAAATGGGGCTTTCCTTTTAAGCTGATAGTTCCACATAATGGGAGCACATATATAGCCACATCTCTATCTGAAGGTAGAGAAATCTTGGCCAAATTGGGCCTGGCGGACGCCCATCACCTCAATGTCCTCCCTCATGTCTCTCCCATTTGGCATACTCCATCTCCACGGAGGGATGGAAGGAGAGTCCGACAAGAACCAGGTTGACAGGACCATGCTCACTTACCTATTACCCATTGTTTTGATAGTCCTTAGTCCTGATCCACAGTTTATTATGACTGAGACAAGAACCGGGATACAGGGATTTTGCTCATCTGTATCTCTTACATCTTCAGGATGCGCATTTTTGTGGTCACTGCTGTGATATTTCTGTGTTTCTGAGACCTATGTATGCTTTCTCATGATAGCTGGATGTGTTAAGGCTTAACAAGGGTCTTCGGATGTTCTTATTACCGCCCATTAATTCATGGTTTCAAAACTCTTGAACACGTTACCCCACCCTGCCGCCTGACATGGCCGGAGGTGTCACCGCCCGATTGTGGGGTGGCAGCTCCGTTCTCCATGTTTTACAGAGACAGAGTTTGGGCCCATTTGGCCCTTTGATGTTTGAACTTTTTTTTTTTTTCAGGTATGGCAAATTGCCTGCCTGATCCATGTTTTTCAGTTACCCTCTTAATTGCAGGAGCCATTAAAGCTTCACTTCTATTGTTTTTTCTCTCTTTCCAAAGCTTTGGTGCATGATGTTGGTTTTGTGCCGGTCTGTGGACGTCACGACTCCCATATTGGAGTCTGGATGTCCCCTAGGCTGGTACTACTGCCTGTAAATCTGTCTGATGTGGACTCGCGGGTCCTTATGTCTAGCCAAATAATTCTAGGAGATGTCTTTTCAATGTGTAATTTTATGCTGATAGCTACAACTATTGTACACTATGGTAAATCAATGTATTTCGCATAATGTCAGGGTTTCAATTCACCAAATAAGCGCAAAACAGCCTTTCTTCAATAAAAGCGATTAGGGGCTAAAATTGTTTTGTTACAGGAAACACATTTTGCAGCCGCAAAACACCCGACGTATTTTCATAAATCCTATAGGCAGGGGTATTATACTTTACATTCCTCCAAGAGTAGAGGAGTGGCCATTTTTTTACATAATTAATTCCCCTTTGAGGTTCAACATGTGTACCTTGATCCGGACAGTAGGTTTATCATTCTTAAAAGGTACCTTTCAGGTCGAGAACTTACTATTGCAAAAATCTATGCACCGAATTCGGCACAAGCTTTCTTTTTTTCTAAATTTTTTTGATGTTCTGGATAGGTTCTTGTCCCCCCATCTATTGGTGGGTGGTGATTTTAACCTAATAGAAAAAATGCGCACTCACCGACCCTCTGATGAAGTGCCCTAGCACGAAAGGCCTCAGGAGGAGCCAGAGTAGCGAGTGTGACTTCCTGACCACTGGGACCACGAGGAGGTCCGGTGGTCTTCCACTTTTTATCTTTGCCGGGTTAGTGCATGTATCATTTATTTATTCATTTCTCACTTACCAGTCTGTCTGATCACTGACTGTATTTGTTATATGCATGTGACCCTGGCTAGCATTTTTAATGACCCAATAAAAGTTTTGAACATACTACACTATTGGCATTCCCTTTTCTTGACCCTCTTGTTGGAGGGTTCCAGATGTGCAGCAGCCAATTCTTGGGGTACCTATGACCAGGATCTCAATCTACCTTATTACTTGGGGCAAGAGGGCTCTCGGGATCTGGAGGTATATCGCTGCACCCAAGGCTGATGTCGTTACTTGAAGGGGATGACCAAGGTGTTTTGCTGATCTGCATATCTGACCGAGCATCTGGATAATACTGTACACATGCGCATTTGAAATGCGCGGTCGGTGAGTGCGCATTTTTTCTATTTGATTCCAGCCATCTAAATGAGGAGGACACTTTCACATGTTCTTTGTTCATGATCACTTTTAGTGTGTAAGGGACTATATGAACTTTTATTCATATATTTTGTATTATTATCATAGCGCTGCACTATATATACATTATTCTTATTACAAGGTCCAGTGATTCCTTAGAGTGTTTCAGCAGCTGATTTTTGAGCGCTCGCTTTTATCTTTATCCCATGGTGATTTTAACCTGGTAGCAAACCCTCTTTTGGACCGAAGCTCCTCCTTGCACTCTTCCCAGGCTTTCCCCAAAATCCCTAAGAAACTAGATGCCCTACAGTTGGTAGACACCAGGAGAGCGCACATATGGAAGCCAGGGATTATCATTTTATTCTCACCCACATGACTCTTATGCCAGATTAGACTATCTATTGGTACCCCTATTTTACTAGCTAATTCTAGGACAGCTTGCATTCACTAGAGCCCCTGTCGGATCACAATTAGAGATGAGCGAATTATTCAAAAATTCGGTTCGGCTGATTCGCCGAATTCGCCGAAAAAATTTGCTTCGAGCCGAATATATTCGCTGCGAATTTAACTTATAAAAAGGGTGTTTCTCTGGGCTTCAGAGAGCCCTTTATATTAGTGCAAGAACACTGTACCTTTAATTTAAATGCCCTTGGGAGTCTGCTGGGGAAGAGAAATAATTACTGTCAGTCAGTATTATGACATGCAGTTGAGTGCCGTCGATCTTAGAATCACCGCACACTTCACTCATTTGGGCAGTCACGGGGCCAAAACCAGAGTGTGGAGCCACAGTGTGGCGGTGGATTGGCAGCAGCAATGGGAGGCCATACAGCACCCTATGGACAAACTGGAACCACCAGCAGTGTGAGGATGACCTGAAAGTGGCAAACATGGCCAGAGTGTGGCAATGGAGAACAGCAGCAATGGGAGGGCCGTACAGGGACCCATGACACACTCTGGACCTGGCAAGCAGCGATGAGGAGGCGGTACAGGGGCCCATGACAGATTACGGGCCCTGGCCGAGCAGCATGAGGATTCGGTACGGGGGCCCATGGCAGATTACGGGCCTTGGCAGCAGCATGAGGAGCCCCCCGGTACAGGGGCCCATGGGCAGAGTGGAGGAGCGTAAGCAGCTAAAATTGAAGGCCATACAGAGGCCTATGTTAAAAAGTCCCCCCCAGCAGCAGCGTGGGGATGACGACTATCAAGAGTCCAATGGCAGAGTGGCGGAGCAGAAGCAGCTTCAAGTGAAGGCCATACACAGCGCCTAGGTTTAAAAGTCCCTCACAGATTAATTCCAATAACGAACTCTTACTCTCTCGTGCAATCTACTTACGAGGGACCCTGGGCAGGTCTGGGTCCAAATTTGTGGTCGAGGACTGGTTTTGTTCAGCCATGCTTGAGGAGTAATAAACAGGTCTGTGTGCCCTTTGGTGT